GGGGCTCGAACCTGCGACCTCTCGGCTTGCAGTCAAGTGCAGTACACATTGACTACAAGGGAGTTCCCAGATAGGAATTCGGCGATCGATCAGGGACCCTTGGGCTCCCAGGGACTGACCGACCGTGACGGTACAGGGTTTTTTTTGCTTCATGGTGATCGGGTGTTGAGATGGCTGCAGAAAGCTTGAAGGCGTGTTGAGATGGCTGCGGAAAGCTTGAAGGCGTGTTGAGATTGCTGCGGAAAGCTTGAAGGCGTGTTGGGATGGCTGCGGAAAGCTTGAAGGCGTGTTGAGATGGCTGCGGAAAGCTTGAAGGCGTGTTGAGATGGCTGCGGAAAGCTTGAAGGCGTGTTGAGATGGCTGCGGAAAGCTTGAAGGCGTGTTGAGATGGCTGCGGAAAGCTTGAAGGCGTGTTGAGATGGCTGCGGAAAGCTTGAAGGCGTGTTGAGATGGCTGCGGAAAGCTTGAAGGCGTGTTGAGATGGCTGCGGAAAGCTTGAAGGCGTGTTGAGATGGCTGCGGAAAGCTTGAAGGCGTGTTGAGATGGCTGCGGAAAGCTTGAAGGCGTGTTGAGATGGCTGCGGAAAGCTTGAAGGCGTGTTGAGATGGCTGCGGAAAGCTTGAAGGCGTGTTGAGATGGCTGCGGAAAGCTTGAAGGCGTGTTGAGATGGCTGCGGAAAGCTTGAAGGCGTGTTGAGATGGCTGCGGAAAGCTTGAAGGCGTGTTGAGATGGCTGCGGAAAGCTTGAAGGCGTGTTGAGATGGCTGCGGAAAGCTTGAAGGCGTGTTGAGATGGCTGCGGAAAGCTTGAAGGCGTCTGCTCCTAAGCTCCCTGAAGTTCCCCATCAGCCAGCAAACCTTTCCCTTCCCAAACGTTTGTCTGGGGAAATGAAGCCTGTAATGTGCGTTTGTACATGTAAGCCCTGGTGGTTCACCACCTGGGCTTTCCTCCATTTTGAATATATAATGAGGGTAAAGATGCAGTGTTTTGCCACACGACTACTTGTCTTGTTCTTCTGGCCACGGCTGCTTATTTTTCCGGCCAGTAACGACACATCGAAGAGGTCATTCAGTGCACTTCTCCACCCAAAGACATTACTTCACTCCACGATGACACAATGCCGTCTCAATCATCTGATGGTTATGCACTATCACCAAGACAGCCGAGAAAATGTACTTTCCCCAAATTTTGAGAATTCGTATACATGTACATGTACCTTGATGTGGTCATTTCAATGAAAATTTCTTTGAAGGTAAAATGTCCAACCGGACGAGTCAAAATGTGGTGACTACGGTTCTGATGAGCGGCATCTTGTGACAACACAATGACAATGTGTGTGGTGTGACGGTACAATGTGTGTGTAGACAAACATTACGATTATGTATTTGTTGTGGTGACATCTGTCATCAGCGTGTCATGCCTCTTACCTCATTGTAGCTTCATCCGTAATCCGCTTCCATTGTCCTTGTTCTATATTCTGTTCTCTTTCGTTTCACTTTCCATCATTCTTTGAAGAAGTTTATTTGAATTGTGTTCTGCAACAATCGCTCGTGCTATTAATTTGCATGCTTTCTTCATTATTAATTAATTTTGATGTTATTAGCGCCTGCCAGGCTGGGCTGCATGCTGTGTTCATGTGTGACAGATGATGGTATCGCTTATATCTTTGTTGCGCGTAGTTGCGTAGCTGGTCTTGTCTTGTTTCAATGGAGAGGTTCTGCTCTACTTTACCGGAATGTGACGCGAAGAATCCCGGGAACTCTCTTTGCGTTCCCGTAACGTAAAGAAAACCAATTCTGCTCCACGTTCACGTATAGGAATCTTGTGGCATGAGTAATGGGAACTTCCCGTTCCATAATTGGCAGCTTTCTGCCTGCATTGAATGATACCCAGCATACATGTATCTATATACATTTTCTTTGCATGTACTACAACATAGAGAACCTCATCTATGCGTAGAAATCTGGACCCAAAAAACGCGAAACCGTAGACTCTAACCCAGACACCTGCTCCCTACGTGATTTCTCTACGTTTCACGTATAGCAGTACCTCTCGTTTGTTTGAGTTGCTGTTTGCTCGACTTCGTGTTCAGATCTATTTCATGCACTCCATGGCGGCTGTCGCTGCAATAGCTGCTTCAGACACGACGAGCTGTTATCGGTTGCTCTGCCGCCTTTTTGTATGCATTGCTCGATGTGTTTTTCTTGGCCAGAGTGCTGGTGATTTTGGTCTTCATGTGGTTCTTCTCTTTCTCTGCTCACTGCCAACTTGATTTGTCTCTACATATTTTTCACCAAGAGGTTGCTGTTGAGCTGGTGTTGTGTTGAGCAAAGGAGGGTGTTAGAGAATAGATAGATGCAGTTCTCCCACAATCCCACATGCACAGGGCACTGCTGGAGGATGGCAACACTCGTATACATTATGTGCTCGTACCAGGTTAAAGGATGGCGCCACACTTGTAAGCACTCCGTTGCCGGTGCTGATGTAGATGTTGAACGACGTCACGTATCGTCCCTTGCTTTCATGCATGGACTGGAAGCCGTGTATGGCCATAGATGTGATGGAGACCTCAGTGCCATAGTCTATCTACAATTGCAAAATCAAAAATAGACAACCCGGGGAAAGAAAAAGACATACATGTTAAAAAAATTGATGGCGGATACATGTCAGCCACTAGTACATAAGTAACGTTTTTTCCGGAGTATAAGCCACACTGGAGTATAAGCCACACTGGAGTATAAGCCACACTGGAGTATAAGCCACACTGGAGTATAAGCCATACTGGAGTATAGGCCACACTGGAGTATCAGCCACACTGGAGTATAAGCAACACTGGAGTATAAGCCACACTGGGGTATAAGCCACACTGGAGTATAAGCCACACTGGAGTATAAGCCACACTGGAGTATAAGCCACACTGGAGTGTTAGCCATACTGGAGTATAAGCCACACTGGAGTATAAGCAGCACTGGAGTATAAGCCACACTGGAGTATAAGCCACACTGGAGTATAAGCCACACTGGAGTAAAAGCCGCACTGGAGTAAAAGCCGCACTGGAGTATAAGCCGCACCCAGATTTTTGTCACAAATTACAGACATCTACTGTTTTGAATACATGCCTGATTTGTAAGATATACTTTCGGCACATAAGCCTGGTTGTAGTGTTAACATACATAGAGACACCTGGTTTGAATAGAAGCCTAGCATTGACATCGGCTTCTACAGGAATAAGGCTGGCTTTTTACGCGACGTTACGGTACGTGGAGTGATGAAAAGCACAAGTGTGAAAATGCCTAAAGAGCATGTGATGTATACTGAAAAGGGCTTGAAAATGCTACGACACACAATCAGCCTGGAGTCATGACAACGCTGACTTTTGGATCCACCTGGATCGAGAAATCGGTATTCGTCGTTAGATTCTGACCTCTGATGTCGTCATCACGTTCAAGCCCCATTCAGCGGCGACACTAATATAACCTGAGCGTGTGATATTGTGATGCATGGTGTTATGTCAAGTCCACATTCGGCTGGGTGTAATGTCCGCCGCTTGTCTAATGTTTCTGGCCAGTCTTCTTTGCGCTGTTTTTTTCATCTTCTGATACTGGCCTGGAAAGGTGTTTGTGCTGGTTCAGTTCCTTTCCACCTGAATTCCACCTGGTGATAGCATGCCTGCCAACCATCCCGATTTGGCGGACTGTCCCGATATCGAGGGTGGTAATAGGCACCCGAAAGTGCATTTGCCGCTTGCCTCACAGCTACATTTGTATGCATTTTCATGCCTAGGTATGGCATTGTCCCGATCTCAGGTTTGCAAAGGTTGACAGGTATGTGGTAGGCCTATTTGAAAGTGCTTGTCCCCTGGACTTCATTGTGATCTGTTCGGCCAGCTCCACCGGCTAGCTGTCGGGAGATTTAGTATGGTAGATACTATTCATGCCCAATGTCAGCAGGGGCGTCGGAACCGGTGCGGCAGGTGCGGCCAAAGCCGCACCAATAATTTTCGAAGGTTCGGGAAACGGCGTCTTTCTCTTATTTCCCATATTATTCTGTAGCATTAAGATATGGCCTTTTAGGCCATGGTAAAAATTATGTTTGATTCTCAAGTACGAGGGCACCGATTTTTGGCGGAGCACCGACGATTTTTTAAATTCTATGCATGCATATGCGCGCATGAAAACGGTCAATGCGAAAGGCATGAATCAGGGAGTAGTAAAATACCGGTATTTTTCTACTCCCTGGCCTGAATATATGAACGTGTGACCATGTACATATGTGACCCTATCTTTGGAAATAAAAAAATTGTGGGAAATAAAATAAAAAATCGCTCGCTCGCACCAATTTTCACAGGCTCATGACCTGAGAATCAACTTTATTTTTTACCATGGCCTTAGGCCCAATTTTTAAAAACATTTCCAGCGGGAGGGCCCCCGGACCCCCTCTCACACTTCGGCCGCATCAATGTTAAACTGCTTCCGACGCCCCTGGTCAGTGTGCAGCATACTCACTTCCTTGTGCAGCCAAACCTCTTTAGGAAGAACTACAAGGGGACCGATGGTATTTGTTCGCAGTAATGGGAGTTCTTCTTATCTATACTTTATACACAGCCAAGACAGAACAACAAGGCAATCAAGGCTTGTTTGTCACTACTTAAAGTTTCATGCTTTCCCAATCATCAGGCAACATGAGCTTGGTACTGGCCATGCCGGTGTACGTGCCAGGAGAGGGTGGGTCTTGTAGCGCTGTGTGGAAAGCTGTGTGTGAATGTGGGGGCTGTATAGGTTTCAGGGCTAGCGGTGTGATTTTAGGCAGGAGGCTGTGTGCAGAGTGTATGGTTGTTGAAGGCAAGGGGCTGTAGAGGCAGTGACAGGGCTAGCAGTGCGATGTTAGCGCAGAATGTGTGGCTGGTGTGTGCAGGAGGTTGTGAGCAAGGCGTGTGTATGTTGTAGGCAGGAGGCTGTAGAGGTAATGACAGAACTAGCAGTGTGCTGTTAGCGCAGAGTACATGATTATGGCTGGTGTGGGCAGAGTGTTGCGAGCAAGGTGTGTGGTTGGTGTAGGCAGGAGGCTGTGGAGACATTTTAGGTGACACCGTGGTATTTAAGGAGATACTTGTTTTCATGTCGCCACTTGGACACCCTTTCCGAGCGCTTGTAGAGGCTGGATGGTGACCCTAGGGTGTTCAGGATGTGGTACTTTTCTCTGGTACAGAGGGAGCACCGTTTTGTGATTTTGGTGTACGCTCAGGCGCGACCTTTTGTCTTCCACTACTGGGCGTTAGCTTTCTTCAGGTTCCAAATGTGGTTTGAGAATTCAGTGCTGCTGGAGTACTTTTTGTATCTGGCTGTTGTCATGTGGTTGGCATGGCGTGACTTGAACGGTGGCGCCGATATACCGGTGTATTCTTTCTTGGTGGGGCCTGACATTATGGATGCCACATAGATCAGCACCGTGGTCTGGCATTCACCGTTAAAATACACTGCCAATACCCAGTCATTATTTTGTCCAATACAGCTAAGAAAAACACTTCTTCTAAAGCAAAAGTTTGTTTTGTCCGTGTTCTTCTAACCTAGGTTTCGCTGTTCATGTTGCATGGCATATGCAAAGTTGGCTGCAAACATGTGCGTAGCTCACCTGCAGGTATTCCTCCAAGCTGCCGGTTACGGGCGCCCAACCACCGTAGCCCCTCATCTTGCCAGCACGTGCATCTCCCGGCTGATACGTATACGTGGCACCAACGTACTGGGCACTGTAGCTGGACGAAGCGGTGAAGTACTGTGACGACAACAGTCCACTGGCGATACCCAGGTCCTCACTGCATGATGGTGATGGTGAGGTAGGTCCCGGGGTTGTTTGACAATGCACTGCATAGGAGTGCACACAGCAAGTGTTTATGGGTAATGAGAATAAAAAAGGAGATGGACAAAAACGGCACCATTTATGACTACTTCAAGTAACTGTCCTCCAACGTAACCAGATCATAATACAGCGAGTACGACAAAACGGCACAAACCTAACGGAATGAGAATAATTTGCTCTTTCACACGAGTATGATGTGAGCTGGAGGGGTGGGGGGGGGGGGGGGAGAGGGGATGGGGTGGGAGAGAGGATGGGGTGAAGGAGGGGATGAGGTGAAGGAGGGGATGGGGTGAAGGAGGGGATGGGGTGAAGGAGGGGATGGGGTGAAGGAGGGGTTAAGGTGTGAGACAGGGTGGTGTGTAAGAGGGATGGGGTGGGAGGGAGCGGGATGGGACAGGGTTGGCTGAGAGAGAGGATGGTATGAAGCCACATGGGGTGAGAACGAGAAATGGGTGGACGCATATGCAGGAGAAGGAAAGTTTCTTGTGTGTTCATCTCTTTAACTTGCAAAGTAATCCCATGCAGCCATTGCCCATATGCTATCTTGATGCCAGTGACTTGTCTGAATGATAGCATAGCTGATAAATCATAGCTGTGACTACACATTATTTCTTAGACCTCCAAGTTACGGGCACATCGGTCTACCGGGCACCCTGTGGATGAGTTTTAGTGGAAATATTACAACTCTTCTGCCAAATTTTGTGGAATCAGTGAAGGCATATGCAAGATCGCTAGCCCTTCCCCATAAAAACGTACGTGATTTAGAGTTACGGACATTTCAAAGTTATGGGCAGTGTCCAGTCCCGGGCCACCAGGAAGGGAGAGAAAGATGAGTGTTGTTGAATAATTATTATTACTACACAATGGTAAATCAAATTACTAATTAAAAACAGCCTGGTCACGGGTAAAAAAATCGGTGAATGCTGACCTCTTTCCTTCAATCACCTGGCGACATCCAGCGTCACTGACACCGAGATGGGGCAACTCCACACAAAAAAGTACTTTATTCACTGGTTCGATGGAAAGATACAAGCGGGAAAGTCTGAAGAAAAAAAATTGACTGTCACCACCAGGACTCGAACCAGATAAATGACCTTCGATGGAGTTGATGTACTTATGACAAGTTATGTCTTTATGTTGGCCAGTTTACAGTCCATTCATCGGAAACTGGCCCACTGGCTTTTGAAAGTCGGATTTGGGCCCAAGTGAGGATCAAAAACCCACTTTAAATCTCAAAAATCTGGGTTTTGGATCTGCTTCTCCATACATTTTGTCATGGCATACCTGTCCTAATTTTGTAAAAGCTGGCTGAATTTCTATTTCCCTGTTCTTGGACTTTTCTGGCCTCGAATGTGGCAAGGAGTAATTGCAGGGGTCACACAATGCAGGATGTACTGTTGTTTTCACGATATCTACAACTATGTGAGAAAGACACCAAAAGTTAGGGTGCCAGTTTCCAATGAATGGACTGTAGGCTGTCTCAGTCGCGTCCGCCGCTCTCCCCACAATGTGTACCATGGTGTACGTGCGTGCCCAAAGACTAAGTGAAAAGGACGCATGCACTGAAACAGCAACGACTGAAAAATCAAAAATGGATTCCTTACCGTAGCCAATAAAGAGCGTCAGAGCCGTCGCAACACGTAAAGTGCGTAGTGGTAGGTCGAATCCACTGCCAACACTCGCCATGGTGGTCGGAGCAGTGAAGAAGCACTGTCTCTCCTCCTCTCTGTACTCAGCGACTTCTGCTCTGCCCCGGTGTTCGGTTTGTCGAGATGACGAAAAGGATTTCTTCCCAAGCATCTCGCCTGTCACTGTGCCAGGACTCTTTCATTCAAATTTTGGAATTCTTTAGGAGGAAGCTTTGCTCGGACAGGCGACCCAGCGAAGGTCATGTAGCTCGTACTGCAGCTAGCGAATGTTACCGTCATGTCGAAACGAGCAGCTGAATACTGTGAATAGCCATGACATGGCTATTCAGCTGTCGATCAAGAGGAAATTCAAATGTCACACCATTACGTGACATTTCCTCTTGATCGACAGCTGAATAGCCATGTCATGGCTATTCACAGTATTCAGCTGCTCTTTTCGACATGACTGTGACATTCGCTAGCTGCAGTACGAGCTACAGTCATGTGACCTTCGCTGGGTCGCCTGTCCGAGCAAAGCTTCCTCCTAAAGAATTCCAAAATTTGAATGAAAGAGTCCTGCCTGGCACTGTGACAGGCGAGATGCTTGGGAAGAAATCCTTTTCGTCATCTCGACAAACCGGACACCGGGGCAGACCAGACATCACTGAGTGCAGGGAGGACGAGAGACAGTGCTTCTTCCATGCTCGCCTCACGTAACGTTCCTTGCCTGAGAGGTACGGAGCGGAGCCTCTCCCTGTCATTGACGAAGCAGCTCCGGATCTAGACGTAGCGATGCAGTCACGTAAACATGTCGTTACTTTACGACTAGGCCCCGGTGTAATATGCCCGAAACTAACTTTGCCGAAAATGCTTTTGGGAAATTCTCGTAAACCTTGCCGAAAATGCTCCCAAACCTTGCCGAAAATGCTCGGAAAATGCTCACTTTGTTGTCATCCTCAGCACACGCCGTCAAACCAGGGAGTCAGAAAATACTCAATAAGAGACTTGCTCGAGTCTGCCATGGTAAACAATTCATAAACTACTCAACAAGAAGCTAACCCACGGAATGCGGAAGTGACGTTCTTGTTTGGGAAGTTTTTCTTCTCATTTTGATACACAACGGCCAAGTGCTCCGTTTCCCCCAAAATGCTGCATCACGAGCCCAAAGTGCTGGGTTCGCGGATTGTACGGAAAATGCTCAAAAAAATGCCGGCATATTACACGGGGGCCTATTTACGACTGACTGACTCTGACACCGCTCGCGCTGAGAAGCACTGGACAGCTAGCGCACCAAACACGACCATGTCAAGTGATTCGTCGCTTCAAATAATATTCTATCTCTCCAAACTTACTTACTTGATGTACCGGAACACTGGCTGACTCAGTGACTGGCACTGCAATGATTTTTGGACTTGGACCAGGCAGTAGATCTACCGACCGCGTAGTATCTGTCTTTGTGGTCCACTTTCACATGAATCAGAATAACACCACTGAACAGACTGAACACACACAGAAGCCTCTGCTGAGAGTGTGAGCACGGTGGACACGGAAATCCGGTCACACGTCTAGCGGCCCCATGGCAGGGCAGGGCGCTGGCCAAGCAGCCGTGGGTACAAAATGAGCCGTCAGATGAGAAAACAGACCTTATCACAAAAAAGTCATATTTTTGTTTGTGGTGCTATCTGATTGCCAGGAGCACCAGGAATCGTATGCAGAAAACTAGAGTTGATTTGGACCAGGGAAAGTAAAGTTATAGCCTCGACAGTAGGAGACAATTACAAATTGCACCTCAAATTTGGGTGCAATACCAACAATTGTTTCACCTACTTTGGATAATATTTTCTGTTTCCTTTGACCGATTTCCACAAACTTGGGCTTTCTGGAAAGCTCTGGCTACAAGCAACCCGTTGGGCCCAAATCCGATAGCAAATAAAGCACAGCTCCAGCGCAACAAGCTACAGACATCGCTTCAGCGCTAGACTTGCGCCGTCACACGAAAATCGCTCGCCATTTCCATCTCCATTATCCCAGGACGCCCAATTTTTTTCGTGAAGATGCAGTGAGCGCCTCCAAAACGTCTGAGCCTGTTGCCGAGATCGTAGATCGCTTGAAAAGGGGGAAATCCCTGGTCTGGAGCGTTTGACTCGCGTGTAGAAATGCAAAGTGCCGTGACGTATCTTGCAGGCTTCGCATCTCGGGAACGCAGCATCGTGCCACGATCGCGCTTGCTGCATTGGATTCCTTGGAGTTTTCTCTTCGATTTACATACTTGGATTGTCCCAAAAGACCGATATTTGACTGAAATACGACGGTTTGTAGCTTGGTTGTCCAGACGCACCAGTGGGTAAACTCGCCAACTTTCAAGTGCATTTTTCTGCACTGTACAGTTTTTCGAAGGTCTGTTTTCTCATCTGTAGTGATTTGCGATAAGCCTCCGGTTTTAACGATTTGTTTTACGGAGATTTTCCATGTGTTTTGAAATTAAATTATTTGCATTCTTTTATGATAATATGTTATTTGATATTTCTTTGCCTAAATATGTAGCGTACGGTACTCGATTAGTACCACGTGGATCTACGTTAGGTTTGTCCACTTTTGCTAGGGTACTCATGCATGCACGTGTCTTTCTTTACCGTACACCATTCGTGTCCTTTGCCGGATATTTGTACTCCTTTTATTGCGCGTTGTAATTATTACATGTTTGTACATACGCTAACTTTGGCGCACTACACATTCTGTATTTTCTCTTTGTTATGGCACAAGGATTCAGAGAATCCTTCAGTAGTCTAGACATTAGTCTTCACCATGCGGTTTGGCCTTTCGGTGTTCTCTTGCAATGAATAATAACAGTGTAGTCTGAGTAGTTTTCCTGTGGATTCCCGGTGGATTTTAGAATTGAGATGTGCTAGACGCATCAATTGGTGACCCCTCGAAACGAACTCGGATGTCCTCCTCGGGCTTAGGAATGGACCAAGCTGTCACCCCTGCTCGTGGTGACCTTAGCAAAGGTCTCTCTTCTCGACTACATTCGCCTTATCTGAACAAGACAGTGCGGGACAGTACCGGTAATGGCAGCGATCCTCAGTCAAGCACCGCTACTGATGTAGCTACGAGATCCCAACCTGCCGCTGCAGCACAATCGGATCCTGCTCCTCGTCCTGAGACTGTATCAACCGTTAATTTGAAGATTCCACCCTTCTACATTCAAGACCCAGCTCTGTGGTTTCTTCAGGTAGAGTCTCAATTCATCACACAACGAGTAACTAGTGAGCGCTCCCGTTTCCACCATGTGGTTGGTGCACTGCAACCGGAGATGGCCATGCAGATAAGGGATTTACTGCTGAACCCACCCAGCGACCGCCCTTACACTCACCTGAAGGAAGCATTGGTCCAGCGTACTTCTGCCTCTGCTCAACATCGGATCAACCAGCTCCTATCTGCTGAAGAGCTTGGTGATCAGAAGCCTTCTACCCTATTGCGCAGACTGCAACAGCTAGCTGGTGATACTCCAGTGGATAGCCAATTCCTCAAGGAGTTATTTATGAAGCGTCTGCCTGATCAGTGTAGAGTAGTACTTGCAGCCAGTCGTGAGTCTGATATACAGCAGTTATCTCTGCTAGCTGACCGTGTCATGGAAGTCATGCCACCGCATGTCCGTGCTGTTACGGTGCCAGAACCCGTTGCTGAACCTCTGGCGGAGTTACGTGCCGAGGTCGCAGCCCTCCGCAGAGAGATGCAAGATTTGAGTACTCGTGGGCGTTCAGCATCTCGATCGCCCACACGAAACTACGGCCGTTCGCGCAGTTCGTCGCAGTCCCGTAAGTCCTCAGGATTGTGCTGGTATCACGACAAGTTTGGCGACAACGCTCGTCGCTGCGTCCCACCCTGTGCCAGAGCAGCTACCTTTGTGCAGCCGTCAAACTCCCAGGCCGGTCGGTGAAGGCGACCACTGCCCCCGGCCCTGCACCGTCTCGTCGCCGATTATTCATCCACGATCGCTTCACCAAGCACGATTTCCTCGTGGACACCGGCGCCGAGGTCAGCGTTATACCACCATCTGCCACTGATTCTCGCCATGCAGTTGATTATGCGTTACAAGCAGCGAATGGTTCTCGCATACCGACGTATGGTACACGCTCAGTAACGGTGGATTTCGGCCTGCGTCGTAAGTTTCAATGGGTGTTCATTATTGCTGATGTGACATCACCTATTATCGGTGCAGATTTCCTGGCACACTTTCGGTTAAGTGTAGATCTACACGGTCGTAAACTGTTAGATGGCATCACCAGTTTGAGCGTATGCGGTCTAGTCTCGTCCTCCGCTGAGCCGACGTGTTGTTTGCCAGTCTCTGGTGATAGTTCGTTCAACGCTCTTATTAATGAGTTTCCATCTGTCACCCGCCCCTGCAACTACGACACACCTGTGAAACACAACGTCGAGCACCATGTGGTCACCACGGGCCCACCGGTATTTGCCAAGCCTCGCCGTCTCCCTGCCGATCGTTTAGCTGTAGCTCGTCGGGAATTTGACCACATGCTCGATGCGGGCATCATACGACCATCGTCCTCCCCATGGGCCAGTCCATTGCACATGGTTCCCAAACCAAATGGTGACTGGCGCCCATGTGGTGATTACCGTGGCCTGAATCGTGCAACTGTGGCTGACCGGTATCCGATACCGCACATCCATGATTTCTCTGCCAATCTTCATGGCGCCTCAGTCTTCAGCAAGATAGACTTGGTTCGTGCATACCACCAGATACCAGTGGCAGAGGATGATATCCCGAAGACGGCCGTTACGACCCCATTTGGTTTATTCGAATTTGTTCGTATGCCCTTCGGACTCCGGAACGCAGCCCAATCATTTCAACGTTTCGTTGATCAAGTGTTGCATGGCCTGGATTTCTGCTTTGTGTATATTGACGACATCTTAATTGCCAGTTCGGATCCTGAGACGCACCGCACGCATGTCCGCTTGGTCTTACAGCGTCTGCAAGAGCACGGCCTCGTCATTAATCCTGCAAAGTGCGTATTCTCTGTTTCTACCATCGAGTTCCTCAGCCACAACGTCAGTCGTCATGGTATTGAGCCGACCTCCCAACGTGTTCAGGTTATTCAGCAGTTCAACCCACCAACTTCTCTCCGGCAGCTTCGTGAGTTCCTAGGTATGGTGAATTTCTACCGTCGTTTCCTACCTAACTGTGCCGCCATCGTGAAGCCTCTCACGGATCTGCTCATCGGCAAACGTAAGCATGACTCCTCGTTCTGTTGGACTGAAGCTGCTGAATCTGCATTTGATCAGGTGAAATGCCTTCTAGCTGCCACTACATTATTATCGCACCCTAACCCTGTGGCACCCATCAATGTCATGTGCGATGCATCTGACTATTGTGTCGGAGCTGTGCTTCAGCAGTTTGTCGATGGTGCATGGCAGCCGCTAGCTTTCTTTAGCAAGAAGCTTTCCCCTACTGAATGCCGCTATCCTACTTTTGGTCGCGAATTACTGGCTATGTATCTAGCTGTCAAACACTTTCGCCACTATGTTGAGGGCCGGTCATTTCATATCATGACCGATCATAAGCCGCTGACCCATGCCATTCACTTGCCGTCAACTCGCCATTCTCCCCGTGAGGCACGACACTTGTCCTTCATAGCCGAATTCACCACTGATATCCGCTTTGTCAAGGGCACTCAGAACGTCGTTGCCGACACGTTGTCACGACCACTGGATGCTATTGTCCAGCCATCCTCAGTCGACTTTGCTGCTCTCGCCACCGCTCAGAGTAACTGTCCTGAATTCATCGCTCTCCGAAATAATGATTCGTCCAGTTTAGTGTGGCAAGAAGTTGCTTCGCCTGTCTCTTCTCAGTTGCTATGGTGCGACACCTCCACTGGTTCACCTCGCCCGTACGTACCTCCCGACTTCCGCCAACCCGTATTCAACATGCTGCATAATTTGTCTCACCCTGGTATTCGTGCTACACAACGTCTCGTTACCGCTCGATACGTCTGGCCTTCCATGAACCGTGATGTGCGCAACTGGTCTCGTTCCTGCCTGTCATGCCAACGATCGAAAGTGCATCGTCACACTAAGACCCCTCTTAGTCGCTTCATGCCACCATCTGCTCGTTTCGACCATATTCATATTGACCTGGTCGGACCACTCCCATCTTCACAAGGTTTCACGTACCTACTCACCTGTGTTGATCGCTTCACTAGATGGCCGGAAGCCATTCCTCTCCATGATTGCACCGCGGAAACCGTCGCATTCAATCTGGTCTCTGGTTGGATTGCCAGATTTGGTACGCCGTCAACTATCACGACAGATCGTGGTCGACAGTTTGAATCTGTTCTCTTCCAGTCAATATGCAGTCTTCTTGGCTCTAATCGCATTCGTACGACAGCATATCATCCACAGAGCAATGGCACTGTGGAACGTTTCCACCGCCAGCTTAAATCTGCTCTGACCGCTACCCAATCAGCCAACTGGTTTCACCGTTTGCCGCTCGTTCTCCTCGGTATTCGCTCCGCTTTACGCACCGATCTAGATTGCAGTGTTGCCGAGCTGGTTTATGGTACAACCCTCCGTTTGCCTGGTGAATTCTTCACATCCTCATCTGAGTCTCTTCCGTCAGCTGCTCCGTATGCCATTGCCCTACGGACCATGATGCGTGACATCCGCCCTGTCGAGCCGCGAGATGCTCCTACTACTCGAGCTACTCACGTTGCCCCTGCTCTTCAGTCAGCCACCCATGTCTTCATTCGTACAGATGCTGTGAAGAAACCACTGCAACCCCCATATACTGGCCCACATCCAGTCATCAGTCGTGCTGAAAAGCACTTTGTGGTTAATGTCAATGGTCGACGGGACACCATCTCGCTTGATCGGCTGAAGCCAGCTCATATGCCTTCGCCATCAACTGTGTCCACTCCAGCTGTTCCTGTTCAGTCGCTTCATGCCCAGCAACCTCCTCAGCCTCTCCGGTACGTACACTTTGAAGCTCATTGAGTGACTGTTGATTCTGTGGCTATGCTATTTGTACATGACTTGTAAATATTCACCATGAACATTCTTGTATATAACAGTTATCACTATTCTTACATTTCACCATTGTCGTTTCTCTCTCCTCTCAGTCTTTTCGTGGACTTTCTTTGCATTTCCGTCCACTGGTGGGGGAGTATTGTAGTGATTTGCGATAAGCCTCCGGTTTTAACGATTTGTTTTACGGAGATTTTCCATGTGTTTTGAAATTAAATTATTTGCATTCTTTTATGATAATATGTTATTTGATATTTCTTTGCCTAAATATGTAGCGTACGGTACTCGATTAGTACCACGTGGATCTACGTTAGGTTTGTCCACTTTTGCTAGGGTACTCATGCATGCACGTGTCTTTCTTTACCGTACACCATTCGTGTCCTTTGCCGGATATTTGTACTCCTTTTATTGCGCGTTGTAATTATTACATGTTTGTACATACGCTAACTTTGGCGCACTACACATTCTGTATTTTCTCT